AAAAAAAAAAAAAAAAAAACAATTTTTTCTACTGAAACGGTTGTTGAAACAGAACTTTACTTTTGTAAACTGTCTGTTTTTGCCTCCTTTCTTCTATTCGTCATAAATCATAAATGTTGTTTTTCATCTAAATTTTTTTTCTTCTTTTGTCTTCATTTTCTCTCAGAGGTTAAGTTAAAAAATTATGGTGAAGCAATGTTAAAAATGTCAATTTTGTCAAGTACTTCATTTTAATAGCACAAAAAAATGGTATCACTTTTTTTCCAATTTTTTTGCAGCAACTACAGCAGCAAATCTTTCTTTTCATATTTCCTTTGTCTTCAATTTAAAACTGATACTGTTTCGTCACAGCTCAGCCTTGCAATAAATACCAAAAAAAAAACTGGAAACAAAATTTTTTTCTCACTTGTATTGTAAAGTAACAAAATTTTACAGTTTATTAGTCACAGCACAAATGAAGAAAAAGCTTTAGCACAAAATACCTTCTACTGCATTACTTCGTTTTTCCTTTTTTTCTTTTTTTTTTCGCTTAACTTATTTATTTTTGCAGAAAAACTGTAGCAGAAAAACAGCTCTGCAAAATATGTTCAATTAATTTCTTTTTGCATTTATCGGTGATCAAATAATAGGCGAATTATGACAGAAAAACTGAACTGTTGTTGTTGCAAAAAAAAAACGTTTGAAGAGAGTATGCCAATTTAGAAATAACAAACTGCAAATTTTACTGCTGTAATTATCGGCGTTTTTCTTGAAGCGATTTTCACTTACTTTCTTTTGTTTTTTTCTTTTGAAAACTTATATTTGAGAATTTTTTCAATTTATTCATGTTACCGTACCACCGAAAAACGTGACTGTTAAAAAAACTATAAAAATTTGAAACCTTATTAATTTAATCAGTTATTACTGCACAAAAAAAATTTTTTTAACAAATTTGAAAACGGAACATTTAGTGGCACTGTGACGTCTCGCTGAATATTTTATATTGATCGCAGACTGTAGCGAACAGGTCTTAACGAACGTATTATCCATGTAAAGAAATCTGATTATAAAAAATGTATAAGTGACTTTAATCAGCATTTAAAAATCATAATACAAATTAAAGCAAAGAAACGTTATTAGTGTTGCTGCTGAGATTTCTCTTACAATGATCAGAGAAAATCTGTAAGCGGGAAAAAGAAATTTGATTCTAATATGCAATTATAGTTTTTCAACATTTATAACTACAAGGCAAATAAATATATATGGTAATCGTATTTAAAAAATTTTATTATCAAAACATTTTAATAAGTGCAAAAAAAAAGAAATACTGATCTACACAAGTGTTTAGTAAGTAAAGTATCAAAACAGAAAACTCATTATTCTTGTTTGATTACTTTAGTCACTTATCTTCTTCTCCTACCATCAAACAAAGTAACCGACTGTTCAACATTGATACTACTGTTCGTATTCAGCATCAATGGCTTTTCATAAAGCCAAAAATAAATTATCAATGGAAAGAGTCTTTTCGGGCAAAAAAAAAAGAGGTAACCTTCTTGCACAGGCGTAAATAAAAAGTAAAAATAGTAATTTTCATTGTAGTAACAGTTTTAAAAAAGAGTTGTCTGAAGCAATTTTTTAGTGTTGTTTAGTAACCCACAGTTTTGTTGGATTTTCCTGAGTTACAGAGATGTATCCATAAGTTCAGCTACAGTAAAAGCTAGTTTTTTTTAGCAATTTTTAGTCAATGTGTTGCAGAAGTGGTAAGGAGAAAAAAAGCACAAAAAAAAACAATCAAATAGGATTAATTAAGAAAAACTGACGAAAAAAATGAAAGATTTTACTGAAGCTATAAACATTTGTCGTTATTTACACGAACGGTATACCTGCTGCAATTGAACAATCCTAACAGTTCGCTATGTTTGATTAACTGTCTCTATGTTCAGTTATATGCATAAAGCAGAGACACAGTAATAAACAAGTAATAAGCCATCAGTTCTTACGATTAATGCTTATTTTCAGCATAAGTAAGTATCAAATTCTAGTTTAGGTGTAAAGCTATGGTTAGCTATAAATGCGCCGTATTGTATTCGTTAAATTAATGTTTCACATTCAGAACAACATAATTCACCGTCATCGTTTACTCAGATGAACTATAGATATTAGCAAATACCATTACCAATCAGTATGATAAACCAATTCCTATAGAATAAATGAGCAAAAAGAGGGAAGTAGCAGAAAAGATAATAAAACAAATTATTTATTTTTTCATCTTATAAAATTATAATAAGCTATAAAAAAGAATTAAAAAATGAAAAAAATACACCTTTCAACGACTTAATGTTTGCAGCAAACGCAAAAAATGCCGATCTGTATTAATTTTATCAAATAACAGACAATTTTGACCTTAAAAAATTTCGTTGAAATTTCGCAAACGCACTTCATACCAATGCCAAAAGAAATACAGTTGAAGTTTGCCCTGCTTTTTAATTCCTGTTTTTCTTTTTTTTTTTTTTTTTAAGAAAAATATCTTCAATATTGAATTTTTTTTTCCTCTGTTTTGTTTCTCATCAATTTACGATATCTCTCTTTCTTTCCTTTTTTTCTTCGACGATTTATCTTGGTACCTTTGAAAAAGCTGCCATAATTAGTATTATTATAAAGAAAGCAAAAAAAACTGATGTTACTAGTAAAATATTAAACAAGTGAAGAAAAAACGACTGCACTGAGAACCTAAATATTAATTGTTTTTTCTCTTAAATTTTTTTTTCTTCTTCTGTAATCACTCATAAGAAAAACAAAAGTTTTTACCAGCAGCAAATAAAACCAAAAACAAAAACTATCATTTTCGATTGATGTCAGTAATGATGCACAAATATGTCATCTAAATGCTGCGTAAAGCTTTCGGCAGATTTGTAGATATTGTTCTAAAGGGAATTAGTCAACGTGGTAAAGGTCTATCTGATAACTGTTATCATTACACGAAAGGTTTCATACCTAGCAAAAGTTGTTTTATGCTTACAGTAAAACATATTACGCTGAATGCTGTAACGATAACAGAGCAAGCGGTTTGGTCAAGTTAAAGATAGCTGACTGGTACCGCAATCCGTTCAAACAGGTTCAACAACGACGTCGCCGTCTTTTTTAATCTGCAATGCTGTCTGCAGAGCTTTTGCTGCTTCAAGATCTTCTTTCAGTTTTTCTTCTTCTGCCTTCAATGTTTCCAGCTGAGACTGTTCTTTGTCTGCAACAATTTACTGTTTTATAGCACACTTCAAGTATTTCAAAAGTAGCTGAAAAAAAATTATTCCACT